GAGCAGCAAAGGAAATCAGACAGCGTGAATGTGAAAGGGCTCACTAATGATTTAATGAAACTAGGACAGGTGAAATTAACACATTAATGGACCGAGACTGCATCAAAAAAAAGAAAGAAAAGCCACGAGCCTATTGTTGTTATGTCTTTCTCTTTCACGCTCTCTCTTTCATTCAATTCAACAAAAATATTAAAAAGAGGATTTCATTTTGAGATGAGATTTCTTTGACTGAAGAGATATTAAAGAGATCTCGGGAGACGGATGGAATTAATGGCAAATGAAGGTTCTTGCACGTGTTTGTGTAAAAAAGTTAAAAAGCAACTTGTACTTGCTGAAGAGGAGCTTCATAATTATGATATAGGAATGCTAAGGACTAAACTGGGAACTTCTTTTTCTAGAGTTGTGTGAAGCCCAGGTCATATCTGCCCTGTTTAAACAAGGGTATGGGCACTTTGAACCCTTCAATCAGAAATCAACTTAAAATCACGTTGATCGGTGGTTAAGTCTTGACTTTTTGCAAAGCTTGTCAGTTTGAACGAGAAGACTGCTGTTTTTGTTTTTTCCCCGACAACAGACAGTTGTGTGTGTGTGTGTGTGTGTGTGTGTGTGTGTCTGAGAGAGATATGCAGAAACAGCAGGCAGTATGCTCCAGGCCACAACAACACTTTGCCAAGCACTCACACTCCCAGGTGTTTTTACGTGTGTGTGTGTACATGTGTGTGTTGGTGTGACACTGAACACATTGCAGACTTTAATCTTTGCAAATTAAACCTGCGGTGAGAGTGCTGTTTGAACGCATTCGTACGCGTGCATGCCCTTGTGTGTGTATGTGTGTGTGTGTGCGCACATCTGTTTGTCTGCATTCTCCTGTTTGCTTTTGCTCGGATTGCGTACTCGTAATGCGCAAGGAACCAATCTCCGACTGTTAAGCAGGTGCAAGCACAGAGCAACAAATCCTACCGCACCTCTTTGTCTCAGCTCAGCGCTTGAGAAAGAACAAGAGCCGCTGTGCTCTCTGCCTCCCCTTTTAGATATTTGTTAGACAATATAGGAGAAGGGAATTCGCAGCCCTGTCGCAGCCCCCCTCTAATCTGTGGGGAAGAAATGGAGAGACAGAGGGAGAAGGAGTATTTTAAACAGCGCATTCGGAATAAATTACTGACAGCCAGATAAACAGAAATAAATAAATAAGGGCTGCCTCCCACGCGTGGCATCTGGGCGACTTTCTTCTTGAAAGTTTGCTTTGCTGACTTCAGGATGGGTGTGCTCTCTCTGTCTCTCTCTCTCCCTCTCTCTTTGTCTCTGTTTTATTTCTTTTCCTCTCTGTCTTTCTCTCACCCTCCCTGTCGCTCGGCAGAACTGACTCGCTCTGCACTGAGCTCTTTTTGCGTTGTTAGTCCTCCCTGACTGGGGTAGTTTATGGCAACAAATCCTCAACGATGGTGAAAAAAAACAAACTTTCTAAGTATAATGTGAGTGATAAATTTGGGATAAGGACAGTGATTTTAGACGATATATTTGCCACAGGTGCCCTCTAAAGGCATTCATACGTAGGACAGGTTTTTGAGTTATTGTGATAGTGTGGCTGCTCAACTACACAGAGAGAAATAGAAATACTTTTCTTCCCTGTATTGCCCGTTCCTTGAAACAATTAAGTCATTCATTTAAGGGTTTAACTTTTATTAGGAAGTAGCATTTTACTAATTTAACTTTAGTGGTGTAATAAAGTTTATATGGTCATGTCTATATGGTTTTTACAATTAATGTTTAACACAAACCTGAGAAAATAAGGGCACTGTTTCAACACTGTAAAACCATCAACTTTATGTCATGATGTCTCGTCTCTGCTCCTCTGCCACTCTCGTATTTTTCCTCCTTCCACTTGTTCTTCTTTGTCAATTCCTCTGCCCAGTTTCTCTCCTTACTTCCAGGCTGAATTGAGTGTATCTGATCTCTGCCTTTCTGTGTGCAGTTACACTTTCAACACCCCTGGAAAAAAAGTGTGTAAAGTGATCCTCAGTCTTTTGTTAGAGCAGCTGTTATACTGTTGTACAGGCAAATTCAAAGGATAATTAAAGCGTTTGTGTTACAGTGCAAGGGGGATTTTTATGAAAAATTAAAATATATGCATTGTTTCTCATTGTTTATTTTCAATATTCTCATGTATTCTGTTTTTGTAATTACTCTGCATCTTCCTCGTTTATCTCTGTCTCTGTGTGTCTCTTTCACTGACTGCTGAAATGAGCTAAGGGTCAAGGTGGACTATGCAGTCTGTCTGTCTGTCTGTCTGTCTGTGTGTCTGTCTGTCTGTCTGTCTGTCTGTCTGTCTGTGTGCGTGTGTTGTAGAGTAGTGGGCAGTATTGCTGTCTACAGGACATCAAAGAGCTCCTACAGAAAACCACTAAATCCT